GGAAAAGCGAAAAAAAGAAAATTGAATGGGAAAAGAGAATGGGAAAAGTGGGGAAAAAAAAGGGGGAGGAAATCGAACGAGAAAAGTGGGGGAAAAGGGAAGGGAGAAAGGAAGGGAGAAAATACAATGGGAAAATGGAAAAGGGACAAGGGGAATGGAAAGGAAAAAGGAAAAGGAGAAAGGGAAAGGAAAAAGGAGAAAGTGGAAAACGGGAAGAAGTAAAAAGGAGAACGGGGAAAAAGGAGAAAGGGAAACATGGAAAAGGGAAAGGGAAAAGGAAGGAGTTGAAATGGAGTATAGAGAGCAAAAAAGAAGTGGGGGAACAGAGTAGGAAAGACTAAAAAGGGAAAGGAAAATAAAAGAGAGAGAAAGAACGGGGAAGAAAAGAGGGAGGGAAGAGAGGGCAAAAGAAAGGGAGGAATGCAGAAAAGGGAATGGGACGGAGGGGCGCGGAGCGAGGCGGGGGGCGCGGAGGGTCCGTCCCCGCGGCCCCACGGAGTAACTGCGGCTGCGTTGCAGAAAATAAATCATTTATTGTCAAAGCACCCAGCGCACCCAGATAGACTATAAAGTTTAATAAATCTTTTCGGGGGGTTGGGCGGGCCGGGTCGGGCGGGGGCATGAAAAGAAACACGAAACTACCGAGACTCCATCATTCACGGGCACATGTCACACGCGGGCGGGCGGCGGGGACGGGGCGGGCGGGGACGGGGCGCGGAGCCCCCAGCGCGGAGCTCGGAGCCCCGGAGCGGGGAGGGTTGGGGGGGTCCCGTCCGCCGTCCGCCGTCCGCCGCTGCCGCAGCCCCGCCCGGAGCTCCGTATCTAAAATAAAACCTTTACCCTGACATAGAATTATTCTTACATCTAAACCATAAGTGCTTCATAATTTAAGTAGAAACGTATGACAAATGCATCAATATGTTGCAATATATGACATTTCAAAAAATGTACTTTAAGTCATTTGCTTTCCTTTTTTTTTTTTTTTTCTTATTCCCGGTTTTTTTTTCCCCTTTTTTTCCGCCTTTTCTCTTTTCCCTTCTTTGCTTTTTTTTGCCGTTTTTCTTTTTTCCCTCTTTATGCTCTTCGTTCTCTCTTTGCCTTTCGAGTCCATTTTTCGCATTTCTTTTTTTCTCCATTTTTTCCTTTTTCTCAGTTTTCTCTCAATTTCCCCGAATTCTCTCATTTCGTCCATTTCCTTTTTTTTTCCTCATTTTTTTCTTTCTTCTTCATTTACGTCCATTTTTCTTCGTTATTTCCTTTTTCTTTATATTCTCCCCCTTTCTTCCATTTTTCTCCATTTTTCCATGTTCTCAATTTTCTGCATTTGTTCCCAATCTTTTATCTGTTTTTCTCCATTTTTTTTCCATTCTTCTCATTTTCTCAGTTTTTCTCCATTTTCTCAATTCCTCCCCGTTTTCCCCATTTTCCTCCGTTTTCTCGCTTCTTTCAACTCTATCCCTTTGGTCCATTTTCTCATTCTTATCCATTTTTCTCCTTTTTTTTTTTTTTTTTTTGGCCATGTTTTCAAATTCTCCCAAATCTCTTTTTTCTCCATTTTCCTCCGTTTTTTCCCCGATTTTCTCAATCTTTTCCTTTTCTCCATTTTCTCCGTTTTCTCCATTAATTTCTTTTTTTTTTTCTCCATTTTTCTCCGTTTTCCCCTTCTCAAATTCTCTCCGTTCTCTTCCTTTTCTCCATTTCTCTCCAATTTCTCCCCCCGTCCCCTCGCCCCCTTCCCCCCTGCCGCCCCGCCGCTAGTTGTGCGAGGTCATGTGGCGGGAGAGGTGGTGCCGCTCGCGGAAGGACTCGTTGCAGATGGGGCACTTGAGCTTCTCCTCTCGACGCCGCTTCACCAGCGGCTCCAGCGCGTACTCCTTCTTGTGGTGCGAGCGCATGTGGTACACCAGGTCCGACGTCATGCGGAACGACGCGTTGCACTTGGCGCACCAGTTCTGCGCCGGGAGGCACAGCGACGCGAACGACGGCGGCAGCAGCGTCAGCGCCGACGGCAGCTGCAGCTGGAGGGGCCCCACCGCGGCCGCGGAGCTCTTGGGCCAGAAGGCGGTGGCGTAGAGGAAGGGGCTCTGCTTGGCTCCCGCCCCGCCGCCCGCTCCCTCCTTGGCGGCCAGCTCGGCGGCGTACAGGCGGCCGGCGGAGGGGCCGTCGGGGCACGGCTCTCCCAGCGCGCCCAGCTTGGGGCCGAGCGGCAGCGGCGGGAAGCAGCGGGCGGGCTGCGAGAACGCGCTCTTCCGTTCCTCCGCCCCGACGGCTCCCGCCGCCCCGAGCTGCGGCACCGAGCTGAACGCGCTGCCCCGCGTCGCCGCCCCGTTTCCACCTCCTCCTCCGGAGCGGGGGCACAGCGCCGGCTCCCCCCCGCCGCCCGCCGTCGGGGCCGCGGGAGAGGAGCGCTCGGGGCCGTCCTCGGGGGCTGCGTCGGGCTCGGGGCCGCGCGCCGCCTTCTTCACCTCGACGAAGGCGCTGCGCTTTGCCTCGCCCGTCTCGGGGCTGGGGGGCGCGAAGAGGCGACCGCTCTCCTCGGGGCCGCAGTAGGAGCCGGCGGCGCGGAACTGCTGCTGCGGGGCACACACCGGCTCCTCCTTGGGGGCCGCCGGCAGCCCCGGGCGCTCCGTCGGGAAGCGGCTCCGCGCCTCCTCCTCGGGGTACCGTCGCTTGGTCCCTCCGCCCGCACCCTCGGGGGGAACGTCGGGGCGGCGCGGGGGATTCTCCAGCTCCCGGGCCAGGTTGTGGAAGTCCGTGGAGGGCTTGGCCGCCCCCCCAGCGCCGCCGTCCGGGAAGGGGTGAGGGAGCGGCTTGGCAAACTTGGCGGGCTCTGGCTCCTTGGCGGCTGCCTCCTTGCCGTCGGGGGGACCGCCGTTGGTTCCGTGCAGCCGCTTGGGGCAGCGGAAGCGCAGGTGGGCGGCGAAGGGCAGCTCGAACTGGAAGCGCTGTCCGCACTCGGGGCAGGAGAACGGCGGCGACCCTGTGCGGGACACGGGGAAGGGGACGCGCGCTCAGCCCCGGGCCGCTCAGAGCCGCCGTCGGGGAAGGGCACCCCGCACCCCCCGCCCGGCCCCTTCCCCTTTTTTGGGGGGGGATTTTGGGGGGCACCCACCGTCGGGACCCCGCGCGGGGCCGAGTAGCAGCAGCTCGGCGAGCTCCTTGCCGTACCACACCAGCAGCTCCTCGTCCTTGGCGATGCGGCGCAGAGAGCGGTAGAAGAGCTGCCCGCTCTTCACGTAGGCCTCCAGGTTCTGCTCCTGCCGCTCGCGGGCCGCCTGCACCAGCCGCAGCCACATCAGCCCCTCCGCAGAGCCGTTGGCTGCCGACGTGTCCACCTGCAAAGGGCCGAGTGTCCGTCGGGGGTTCCCCAGGGGCCGTGGGGCCGCTCCTCCCGCCCCGTCGGCGGCTCTTACCCGGAAGATGTAGGGCACGGTGCGCTTGTCGGTGGATTTGAGGGCGATGAAAGCGATGCTGTCGTAGAGAGACGTGTGGCTCAGCACGCACGGCCCGAAGATGGCATTCTCCGGGATGTCGCAGGTGGTGTAGACGCTGGTGAAAATGTCCGTCAGGCACTGCTGCACCGCTTTGGCCTCCCCGTCCCACGGCCCCCGCGGGGCGTCCTCCATGGCTGCGGGCGGGGGGAGGGGGGGGGGAACAAACAAACACACACCAAAAAAAAAAAAAGCCACAAAAAATAGAAATTATAGATATTTATAGAAGTAGAAATCAGAAGGAAGAATGCGAGTCATCACGCTGGGAAAAAAA